GAATAGTTAGTAGAATAAACACGGTATGGTACCTTATTATCCTGTTACTTTGTGACAACATTTATAGGGTGTCTTTTATCAGATTGAAAGAAAAGATTTTGCTTCCAATAAAAATGTATCTTATGAAAGTGGAGTTGCTAAGAACACTGCAAAACCATAATTGTCAACAGACTGGATATGTTCAGGCTGTGTTCCCAATGTTTAAGTCATGTGTGGAGGTGCTTGCCTCTTTCTGGCAGTGAGCCCATTATTTAGCAGAACAGGTATGTTGGCAGCACTGTTCATTCTAGCAGTGAATGTCTCAGAAACCTCATTCAGATCTCCTAGTAGAGACCTGATGACTTCATGCATTGAGTTTAAGAACATTGGAAAGATTCCCCCTGTAATGACTCTGTACTTGAACTTGATAATACTGATAAAAATGACCTCTCTTTCATGTTATCAGCTGCATTGAAAAAAATCTACATGAGTCCTAAAATTGATCAGACTCTACATCGTCCCATTGCCTGGGACATAGCATGACAGTCAGAAGCTGCTGAATGAAGGCACACATGTCAGAGCTGAAAGAGACCTCAGGGACTTCCCTGGTGGCGCAGTGGTTAAGAATCCGCCTGCCAATGCAGGGGACGGGTTCGAGCCCTGGTCCGGGAAGATCCCACATGCCGTGGAGCAACTAACCCCGTGCACCACGACTACTGAGCCTGCGCTCTAGAGCCCACGAGGCACAACTACTGAAGCCCGTGTGCCTAGAGCCTGTGCTCCGCAACAAGAGAAGCCACCGCAATGAGAAGCCCGCACACCGCAACCAAGAGTAGCGCCAGCTCACTGCAACTAGAGAAAGCCCGTGCACAGCAACAAAGACCCAACGCAGCCAAAAATAAATAAATAAATTTATATTAAAAAAAATAGACCTCAAAGATTATGAAGTTCACTCCCTCATTTTACTAAACCTTCTGTAGCAGTGGATAGTGTCTGTGAAGTGCTCAGCACAGAGGTTGGCACCAGTAGGCTCTCAGCCAGTGTTCACTGCTGTTGTTACTGCCCGAGGTCACACAGTTAGCTCCTGGCAGGACCAGGAGCAGAACCTCTAGCTCCAATGCGGTGTCATTCGGGCCCATTTTTCATCAGGAATATCACCATCTGATATAATCGAATGTATTTGTTTGCTTCTTGTCTGTGTCGCACCACGGAATATGAGCTCCCAGAGGCAGGGACTTTGTCACCTGGTTCACCTCATGTCCAAAGCATGGCATGTAGGAGGAGCTCAGTTAAGTAATTGTCAAATAAAAGAATAAGTAAATTTCGAGGCCCACAGGTAAACATGTTGAGTGTTGAGAAGGGAAAGGAAAAGACATTAACATTTATGGGGTGCCTACTTTTTTTTTTTTTTTTGGCCACACCACGTGTCTTGCAGGACAAGGGATTGAACCCAGGCCATGGCAGTGAAAGCCTGGAATCCTAACCACTAGGCCACCAGGGAACTCCCCCATGGAGCGCCTACTTTTAAAAGATCGTTTAGGGATATGTGTTATCTCAGCTAATGTTCACAACAACCTGGTGGTGAGGAAAGCACTACTATTCCCATGTAATGGTGAAGAAAGTGGGGCTCAGAAGTTTTGGTAATTCAGATCGGACTTCAAAGCTCGTGTTATTTTCACTACCACAGTGCCTCCCAGTTAAATCAGTTCTAAGACTTTTCATGAAAAATACCTTCATTCTGAATGTTGGCTGGTTCCATGATGTTTATTTTTTTTCATGATTAAAAAAAAATTTCTTTGAAATTGAATCCCTGAAAAAACACATGCTATAGCAAAGCATACCAGCTACTAGAGCCTGTGCACACTGTTGAAAGGCAGCTTGGAGCGGCAGACACAGCCCTGGATTTGGACTTCGAGGACTCTAGCTGGGGCCACCAGAGGTGTGAGCCTTTGTTCCTTATCCATAAAATAGTGACATCAACAGCTGCCCGCCTCCCTAACAGCACTGGTAAGACTTAATGAGTGTGGAGCACCTAGCACTGTGCTTAATTAAAGAAACTGGCCATTAAGTGTTAACCACTATTATTGTTTTCTATTTCTATTAGTGTTATCGTTATTAATAGTCATCATAATACATGCTTTTCTCAGAGGGGAAACACTTGGGAGCTTGTCTTTGGTCCTACCTAGGGATGCAGTTAGGGAGCCCAGAATCATGGATTGATTCCACCTGAGCCTTTCCTTGGCTTTAACTGGGACCCAGATTTTTCCATTCTGTGTCCACAGACTGCCCAGCCAAACCTCTACAGCATGTATTTGGTCAGCAAAGGGAGTTTGGCTTGAGAAAGAGGATGGATTAGGTCAACCCATCACCACTTTTGCAAAAAAAAATAATAATAGTGGTAACTTTTACTAGTTTTGTGAGGCCTTTTACATCTTCAGAGTGTGTCCTTGTGTGTTGTTAGCTCATCTTTTTCTCACGCATGGGAGAGCAATATACTTCATGAAGGCAACTGGACCTGCTTTCCCGCAGCTTTGGCACTCTGGCAGTTACTTACCTTTGTGTGCTTCCGTATCTTCAACTGTGGAATGGGTAATAACAGTTTACAGTTTACAGGGTTCTCAGGAAGATTAATGAGCTACCATATGTAAAGGGCCTAGCATACTAATTGACGCACAATAAGTTCTCAGTATTAGAAGCTATAGTGAAGCCCAGGGTTTCTTTCTCATTTTACTTTTCAAGTATTCTTGAAGGAACTACCATTTTTTGGGCATCTACTAAATGCAGGGCACTTTCACAGACTTTATTCCAATTAATTCTCACTTGAGACTCAAAACAAGACACTTGCTCAGGGCCACACAGCTACCAAGTAGTAGAGCTGAGACAGAAGTCCAGGCTTCTGCTTTCCAACCATCTGCTTTTACTAGGAAACTACCCTGCCCCTCATAGACAGTTAACATCCTGGGGCTGGTGGTGCTGTCTTTAGGGAAATGTTGTACTTTACAAGCTTTAGGGAATATGTACCTGCCTCTATCAAGCAACGTTTTTTTTTTTTTTAAAGAAGTGATATTACTGGCAGCATTTTGTCTGGTATTTGGAATTGTTTAAAATAATACCTGAAACACCTCTGTAAATTTGATTCAACAATGTTACTTTCAGCTTTTTGGAAGAACATAATTGAGTGAAACTTAGGACACTGAATCAATGACTATCGGGGTTTGTTTGCGTCTGTGCCTTTTTCCCATGTTTCCTTTCTCCCACTTAGAGATCTTGGGTTTTGGGGCTAATACTCACCTGCAATTTGTGTTTCCATTATGTTTCACAGCTGAAAGATTACTCTAGGCCAGTAATTCTCAGACTTTAGTGTACATGAGAATCACTCTGGTGAGGGATTGTTAAAACACAGATTGCTGACCACATCCCAGAGTCTGAGTCAGTAAATAGAGGAGGGGCCCAAGAATTTGCATCTTTTCCCCATGTGATACTAATATGCTGGTCTAGGTACCACATTTTGAGAACCAGTGCTCTAGACCGGGAGTCAACAAAATTCTTCTCTAAGGGGCAGGTAGTAAATATCTTAGGCTTTGTGAGCCATATGTTCTCTGTCACAACTACTCAACTCTGCCACTGTCACTCAAAAGCAGCCATGGCTAATTGTAAGTGAATGAGTGTAGCTATGTTCCAATAAACCTTTATTTATGGGCACTGAAATTTGAATATTATATAATTTCGCGTTACAAAATATGATTTTTTTCAACCATTTATAAATATAAAAACCATTTTTAGGTTGGGGCTATATAAAAATAGGCAGCAGGGCAGATTTGCCCTTTGGGCTGTAGTTTGCCAACCCCTGACATGCAATTATGGCATGTTGGGGATTTTTAAAACTATTGTTTTAATTATAAAAGTAATGCAAGTGAATGTTTTTAAAAGTCAATCAGTATAGAAGAAAACAGAAGGAATCAGGAAGTCTTCCTCCCCACCCCAGCCCCAATCAGATACCCCAGAAATAACCACTATTGATGAGTATCAATTTTCAGAAATTTTATAGGCATGTACAAGCCTGTATAAATGTATAAGTTCTTTCTACATGAGCTTTTTACATAAGCTCCTTTTAATGAGCTTTTAATATGTACTGCTCAGCATTTGCTATTTTCCTAACAATATATTGTGACCTCTTTCAATGTCAATACATAGAGATGATTTAGCTTATTCTCTTTAATACCTCTATAGTTTTCTGTTGTATAGATTTACCAAAATATATTTAACCAGTCCCCTATGGATGGACATTTGGATTATTTCCCATTTTTTTCTACCACAAACAGTGCTACTGTTCATCTTCAAACATCCATCATTGCATACGGTAGAGTCCTAGGAGATGAACTGCTGAGTCAAAGAATGTGTGCATTTAAAATTTTGATAGATATTTCTAAATTCCTGTTGTGGGTACTTTAGGACCCTACATTCGTTTTCTTTCAGGGTTACACCCTACAGTTTTGCTATTTAGTCTTTATCTGACTTGAGCATTCATTACAATGAATTTCAGTATAATGCCTCGCTGCACATGAACTTAACACAGAGTAGTAATCCTATCGAGGGCAAAAAGTGCAGCTGGCAATTTGTTCAGGATTCGTGAAAGGAAAATGGCTTTAAAGAACATAAAGCCACCCAAACAGTGCCCTGAATCTAGGGTCATCCTGGACATGGCTGCTTTTAAGGTACCACAGCAGAAATTGCTCTTTTTATAGACCTGGTGTTTAGCAGATGTTTCTGTATGTTTTTTACCCACTAGAATAGAGTTTTCCATTGTCAAACATTTATGTAAACATACTATTAGCTAATAAATATGCTTTGCTACTATTGTACTAGAACTCAGAATACCACTGCTTTCCTTTCTATTTAGGGCTTTTTCTTTTTTGAGCCAATAAAGGATTATAATAATGATTTAATAGACAACCATGCAACATCTTAAAATGTAGCACTAAGTTTTTTTTTACTTAAGATATGTCTATTTCTGCTTCTAGGTTGTCACAGGATTTTCTCTTCATCACTCAATCATATCTACTTACACAAGCAGTCAAGCAGTCAACAAAGAAGAAATTTCTTTTTCCGGAGACAAAGAGAGATTTCACACAGTATAGTTTTGCCGGCTGCAGTTTCTTCAGCTCATCCAGTCCCTAAGGTACTGTATTGCCTATTATGTTTTTTGCTGCTTTTTCCAGCCAAGATAAAGGTTAACTGCAGAAGCAATCAAGTGTTTTTGCACCTTTGATTTCTGAGGTGTTTGAATTATAATTTTTAAACTTGGTCTGTGATTTAAAACTGTGGTTTGGGAAGTTTTAACATCCTGCAGTTCTATAATATTCATTTTTTAAAATAAAGCACTGAGCTTATAACTGCTTAATTCACTTAGAATTTAAGTTTCTATCATTAAAATTTCCATATTAAATTTCTACCATGAAGATAAGATTATAGACAATCTGTCCATTTTTCTAAAATGCAATGTAAAGGAGGTGTGGGGATCGTTTAGGAAGAACGAGAATAGGTGAAAGAAATATAGATTTGTCACAAAAGTCACCTGCTTTCCCTCTTTTTCTGTTTTGTTTTTGTTTTTGTTTTTTTTTTGCAGTAAACCCACATTAAGTATATCATACTCCCTGAAGGTGAGTGGCCCATTTTTGTGACAAGGGCTGACAAGACAGGCCACCAGAGCCCAGAGTATGTTTCTGGCATTTCCTTAGTAGAAAAGAAACAAGAAGTCTCCAGAAAGGTGAATGTATTGTTTTAGAATTTCAGTGACAAGCCAACAGCCCTTCTGCCTGTGGTTGTAACCTGGCCAGATTGCAGAGAGAGAGGAGGCGGGGCTGTGGGTGATCGGGTGTGCTTTGTGGGTGCTGATGGTAAAGCTGTAGCGGAGAAGATGCTCACCCCGAGCTCGGCTGCTGCAGCCCAAGCAATGGCGTTACTTGTGTCAGAAAGGCCCATCTGAACACAAGAATAAGTGAAGGTCCTTAAATCCTTCATGATGCAGTTCCCAAAGTACAGAGCCCTAACCTCAGCCCTTCCAGAGATGCTGTGATGTTCATTGAATAGCGTTATCTCTCTCAGCTTCCTGTCCCCAAATGCTGTGTAGCCTTACTGGGTACTGCTCAACAAAACTTATGTAGCAGTTGCCATAAATAGTTTGTAAAGAGCTGTGCAAAACCTTGGGACTGAAAGGAGCTCTGTGTGTAAGGTAGTATTTATTTTCTGAATACTGCCCATGGATTTAAGTTAGTGGTGGAGAATGTTCTCCAAGGGTGATCAGAGTTGAACATTTTGAGTTTTAGAGGAGGGGGGAGTTTGTTTGTTTTTGACAAATGATGGAAGTGTTCAAAGTATTTTTTATGTACTTGAAAAAAAAAGAAAGGAAAAGGAAAGAGAGCTGTTTCGTTTTGTCCTCTAGTTCCTTCTTAGTTTGGGTACAGTTGCAAAGTGTAAGAGAAGTGCATATGTGATAGGCGTCCGTGAACTTGACAGTCAGCCTTTTACATATATTCATTGGGAGAGGGTGTTGTGAGCTATCCTTTGCATAAATTTATCTTTGTGTCGAGGAGATGAAAGTGCTCTTAATTAGCCATTTGGCAATTGGGAAGCTTGGTGCTATTTGTTATCAATGGCAATAGGCTTCTAACGGGTTTGGAGAAGGAAGAAAACTCCTGTTTGTTTTGACCAGAAGTCTCCTTCAGTCCAGTGTGACTCAAAGCACAGAAAGGTTAACAGACCATCCAGAGGCAGCACTAACAGGCCATGTTAAGTTCAAAAGGGCAGGGGAAGGAACTGGGGGCAGCCTGGAGGGTCTGTTGTGCTGGCTTCAGAGGTCGGTGCTCCGGCAGGAAGGGCAGAGCTCCATGAAGCAGGAGGCTGTGTCCGAAAAAATGATCCCATTGTCATGCACTGGGTTCTGATCTTCGTTTTCAATCCTTTTTCCTCAAGCACATAAAGAAGCCAGACTATGTGACGACAGGCATTGTACCCGACTGGGGAGACAGCATAGAAGTTAAGAATGAAGATCAGATTCAAGGGCTTCGTCAGGCTTGTCAGCTGGCCCGCCATGTCCTCCTCCTGGCCGGGAAGAGTTTAAAGGTGGCGTCTCACCAAGCCTCGGAAGACTTACATAAGGGGCAACAAACCCTGCTCCCCTTTTTTCCCTTTCCCTTTAACTCTTCTTTTGCGCACATCTAATTTGTTAAAATTAAGCAAAGCCTTGGGATAGGGGAAAGGGATCGTATTATTTCTGTGTTTGTTCAAAAGATAATTGAAAATACAAATTTGATGTTAAGTAGCAGAATTCTGGAGAGACTTTGAGCACAATGGGCCTATCCAAGTTGATCCATGGCAGATGGCTTTGACTTTTCCCCTCTTACTCCTGCCTATAGTTTCTGCTTTCATTCCCCACATTATTTCCGTGTGCCTGAAGAGTTGCTTTGCTTCATCCTTTGTCTCTTATTTTCTTGCATTGGCTCTGCAAAGAAAGACAGACCAGATACACTAAGCTATAGGTAATTCAGCAATGTAATTGTGTACAACTATCTTACTACAAGATTTAGGTCTTTTGGAATAATCTGAAACTGAATCTGAATCCTGCTATGTAAGGATCATAAAAGAAAATACTGTAGTTTCCAAAAGGTGGGCAGAATTTAGGAAGTGAGACTCAAAGATGAAACACTTAGTGTATCATTTGTGTAATAGACTTGTTATAGCAACACAACTAACCATAATGTGGAGATAAAATAACATAAAGAAAACTCTTGAAGAAATATGTTTTAATAAAAGATTTTGTTTTAGAATTTTGCTCATGATTTATGAATTTGTGGAGATAGTCCTCATGTGCCCACAAAACTTGATTTCAGTTTTCTTCCAGTTTGGGAGCAATTGGATACCTTCTAGTAAGGGAAAAATATTTTTTGAAAACACATTGATTTATTTAGGCATGAAAGAAATCAAGATTAGTGAACCTGAATCTCTACAAAATGTATCAGACTTAGTTTTTTAAATGATGATCCATAACCTCCATGCCATTATGGCGAAACCCATATAATGTTTCGCTGAGATAAAAAGGTGTGGTTTGACCTACTTTTCAAGCTTTGTCATCTAAATTGAAGATCCTTTTGAGAATTTATATGCTTCGGTTAGCCCAGGGCACTAACTGTTGAAGAAGAGGAAGGAATTGCCTCAGAACATATTTTTTAAACCTTCAGGCTAAAAAGGAGTCATGTCATTTAATGACTCACGAGTGATTGAAAGGATCTTAGATTTTTTTTTTTTTTTTTTTTTTTTTGCGGTACGCGGGCCTCTCACTATTGTGGCCTCTCCCGTTCCGGAGCACAGGCTCCGGACCCGCAGGCGCAGTGGCCATGGCTCACGGGCCCAGTCGCTCCGCGGCATGTGGGATCCTCCCGGACCGGGGCACGAACCCGTGTCCCCTGCATAGGCAGGCGGACTCTCAACCACTGCGCCACCAGGGAAGCCCGATCTTAGATTTTAAAATGTCCATTTCTTAATAGTCCATAACACCATCATATACCCAAACAGTTGTCAGAAAGGCACAATAGGATTTTAAGGTTAATCATAATTAATTAAAATGTTGTACCACAAGTTTATCACAGTAAATTTATACAGCCTCCTCTGGAAGTGCTGTAGCTATAGGCATAGTCAATAAATACAGGAAGTGTCTTCAACTGTCGCTCCACAATTTCTTTATTTAATATTTTAGGTTGACATGACAACTGAAGAGATAGATGCTCTTGTTCATCAGGAAATCATCAGTCATGATGCCTATCCCTCACCTCTAGGCTATGGAGGTTTTCCAAAATCTGTTTGTACCTCTGTAAACAACGTGCTTTGTCATGGTATTCCTGACAGGTATTCATTGCTTAATAACATATTGTTCCTTTGGAAACTAAAACATGAAACTAAGATCTATAACATATGTTGAAAGACACTATAGTTTAATTGAAACCTACCTGCAAACTTTTGAAGCTGATTATGGTAGAGCAACAATTTTGAAGTATTTTGCTTCTAAATGGGCATAATACCACCATTTAATGTTTGTTAAAGCAATATGTAATACAAAAAAAGTGGCTGTGCATTAAGTATTTCTTTTACCATCTTAGATTTTTAACCATCTACTATTGCTTTGGCTCTTTGTAAAATTAAGGTAACTATTAAGTATATTTTGTTGAGAATAAGTAGACTTTTTACCAGTGGCAATACATGTTCATTTAGGTATTTCTAGTAAAAATTGCTGTGACTAACATAAATTAAAGATTAAATATAGTTATTCCATTCATTCCTTCTCCACTCAGAATTATCACCGCAACTCATTTGGCTTGTGATAGTGGTCATTAGATATTTATTTTTATATTCCTTTTATTGGGATCTGTCTGTCACCATTTTTTTTCCTGTTTATGTTTCAGTCGACCTCTTCAGGATGGAGATATTATCAACATTGATGTCACGGTGAGTAAATCATATAAAAAATAGTCTTTGATCAACTTCAGAATTGCCGGTAGCAACAAGAATAAGAGTGGATTGAAAATGTGAACTGCACCGATGGAAGTGCTGTTTACTTCTAGACCCAGACACAAGCAGCTGGTTTCCTTTTTTGTCTTTAACTCTGTGTTTATTCCAAGTAAACCCAGGCCTGACTTGAATTTAGGGCTGGAATCAGATGCACTGAGATCAATGTTGGCCTAAGTGAAATGTCAACCCAATCCTGCTATGTGTCATGTTTTTGAGAAGGTGTAATTGTTATTGATCCACTGTGTAGTTAATGCAGAGCCCACAGCACTGGGCAGCTGCTGAAGCTAGATATGTATGAGATGAGCTAACGCGAAGAAAGCCAGCATTTTTCCTTCACTCTGCCAAGATTGATCTTCCTCTTCCTGCT